TTCAAGTCTGGTTTAAATGTTCAGGTCTGGTTTATATCTGGTTTAAAGTGTCCAGGTCTGGTTCAAGTCTGGTTTAGTGTCCAGGTCTAGTTTAGATCTAGTTTAATGCTTCCAGATGCGGTTTAAAGCTTTCAGGTCTGGTTCAAGTGTGGTCTAAAGTGTCCAGGTCTGGTGGTTTAAGTCTGGTTTAAAGCTTATATATATATATATATAAAGCAAAACTAAGGCTGAAGAGTCTCAATAGATTAACTAGTGCCTTCACAGTGAAATTCCACTGATTAAAGCTTAGCTTTACTTAAGTCATGCACTTTGACTTGTGCAGCTTAGATGAATATAATCTGGCCTGTGTAAATAGTAAATGGTCTGCACTTATATAGCGCTTTTACCCAAAGCGCTCTACAGTGTGTTTCTCATTCACACAAACATTCATACACCAACTTCGGGTTCAGTGTCTTGTCCAGGGACACTTTGTCTGTGAAGGGGGATCAAACCTTGCGACTGAAGGACAACCCACTCTACCATCTGAGCCACAGCCGCCTGTGTGTCTTGTCTTATTCAAACCCAAAATTCAAGTTACGCTAGTTTTGAGTTGAGTGAAATGTTAGACCTTTGAAAGTATCAACCGCGTGGGAACCCAGCTGCATCGCTGTCTGCACACTTACAGCCAAACTAAAGGCCATACCTTGTCAAACTTGACCTGCTTTTCAAGAACTTTTGTCCGATAAAGGTCATTCTGGTTGACAGCGACGACGACAGGAGATGAGAAAAAGGAGGACATCAAATCAATGAGCACATCGCCCTCCTCTCACTTGTAAAAACTGTAAGTGATTGACCTGCTTGTCGAGCGCACGCACCGTATGATACAGTCAACTGTCTGCCTCTGACCCTTCCTGCTAGCCCTCACCTCGCTTCTAATAAATCCAAGGGGAGCCATGTGTGCAGCTGACCCCCCCAGTGAAAGTGTCATGGAGCAACTCCAGATGTGAACATCCTCCCTTTCTCTCTCTCTCTCTCTCTCCTTTCTGTCTCCCACACTCTTTACTCTCCCACTTCCACCACCAGTCCACCCGCCCTCCCCCATGCAGCTACGAGTTTTCCATTTCCTTTTTTGGTGAAAAAATCTGAAACGGAGGCAGGGAGGAGGACATTTCACCAACGCCGACAGGAGAGTGTATCTGGTGGTCTGTGTATGTGAGGCAATGAAACAGTCGACTCAGCATAAACAGCGGCGTATGTCTCCCCATTCAGGGACAGATATACAGACGAGGGCTCGCTCTCCCTTTTTACTCTGCTTTTGTCAGAAAAAATATCTTTAAAACTATCTTACAGAAACACTTTTTTACTCAGGCGTGGTTTCTCTCTCTAACACTTTCTCACAGTCAAACACATTTTCCTCCACTTCTCCTGTGGATTTATACACACAAGCGCACATATACACACATATATATACACACACACAGAGACACACTGATCTTTCCTAGAAAGCCATTTAAAACACACCAAAGGGGTTTTCTCTGGCTTAGACAGTAAACACAAGTTCACAGAAAGCTATGAGCTCTTTAAACCAGTAATAGATATTTCACTATAACCACAAAGACACACAAAATATATATAAAAAAAACTGCTCAGCAAAGATCAGTCAGTGTAAAGTTATTTAATAAGGCTTCAAAAATAAAACTAACCATTAAGCCATATCAATCATCATCTCATTTACAGTAAGTTCATTCGGTTATCATCTTGATGGGCTATTTTCCATCGTTAAAAAGTACATTTGCCAACTCTGACTCACCAGCATCAAAGCTGAAATAATGAAATTATAATAGCCATTTTTTTAATATAATTTTTTCACATACACAAACTAACAATGAAAAACAAAACACTGACAGCGCTAACAGCAACGAAATAATTACTGAGGCAAAATCATGGCAGATGAACACATGCATATTCCTGCAATACACGTTTTTATATCAGCGTCTTTTGGATTATAAATGCTGTCTCTTTGCAAAATGCTGATAAAAAAGATTCATTAAGACAGTCGAAAAAGAGAAACAAGATAAACTTAATGTAAAATAAGTGTCATTGCAAAGTTCAACATAAGCAGATACATGACAAAAAAAAAAAAAAAGTGGTCTGCGTGTCTTGTGCCATGTCTTTGAATTGTGTATTTTATGTGCACATAACAACGGGATATCTTACCCAGAGTGCAAATGAGTTGTATTGACCACCAAAAACTGACAACCTCACGGAACATATACTCAGCAAGTCTTTCTTTTTTCCTCTCGGCTTTACTTTGATATTTTAATTTAATAAAGTTGGTCTAATTTTACCACTTTTTACAAAAGTGTCCCCCCCCCTCCCTCTATGTCATTATATACAGTAACTTGTTCAAGATGCACAAAGCGAGACATACATTATGGAAAGATAACTGACACGTGAGGGGAAAAGCAACATTCAAAATGCATAAAACTGCAGTTATAAGAGCATTAAAACAGTAACTCCACCATACCTTTGAAATACAAACTGTAATGTTTATATACTATACTGTATCAGTGTTTGGTGTCTTCTCTTCAGAGCCTGACTTCTACCTGAAGTGACATTTTATTTATATAAAAAATTATATTTTGCAAAGTGACAAGCATTTTGCTTTTCTTTGCTTCAACAGTACATAGCATACAAGTAATGCTGTAATTAAGGCATTCCATATACAAAATCCTTTTTGGTCGAAGAGGAAATCTCTGTGGTGGTTCATGCAACAACAAAAAAAAATGCAGCATCAAAACAGGATTTGTGAACTGACTCCTGGTGAAAATGCGATACAGACACGAGGCACTGATGTGAATGACCTGAGGCAGCATTTGTTCGCCCGTGATGCCAAGCCTGTAAAGATTTGGGGTTCTTGAAAAGCTATACCAAACAGTGAACGGGTGAGAACAGAGTAAATCACTCCTCTATAGGTTGCTGTGACAATCGCGGCACAGGATCCTGTCACCGTCGGGGAAAAAGCCAGCGCCCACGAGTGAGACGGAGCACTGGGAGCAGGTGAAACATGGCTGGTGCCACTGGCGTTCTTCAAATGAGATGTACTTTCCTCCCCCAAAACCTGGCGCAGAAGAACAGTGAGAAGGAGATTTAAGCATTTCAAACTGCAGATGACTGACTTTAAATTTACTCAAGCTGCAAATCTTATGTGCTTCAAACCATCGCAAGTGGAGAAAAATGCACAAATTGAGTTTAAATATGTATAGCCTGTGAAAACCTGGCTTCAAAACATTTTGTCTGTAACACTCATGTCAAAAAATGCGAGTGTCGATTACTTAAAAATGTAAAGTTATTTGTCTTTGTTAAAGTTGATTGAAATCCTGCCAGCTTCAAAAAAGTGAGAACAGCACAGACAAATTTATTGAGAAACAACCGTGACAAGAAGTGTCATGTTCACTCATAGTAAGAAGCTAACTGAGAAAACAGGTTTGCAAGGCCTTCAAGACTTTTCCTATAAATGCTGTGTTTACTGGAAAGGCAATGCAATAAATAAGTCTGTGATTCTTTAGCTAGTGGTGTCCCGTAAACCAGTCTTCTGTTAAAATCAAAAAGCATGGAAAAACAGATGACACACAATGTCACAGCTAGTTTGCAGTATTGACAGTATTTTTCTTTAAGTATCACAGATTTGCACATTATTGTTGTAAAGGTTTAATACAGTGATGTTAACTTGCCTGTGATTGGTTTGCTGCAGGCCTCACACTTTTTGGCATAGAGGCTGCCGAAGCATTTGAGGCAGTACGGGCTGTCCTCTCGGGAGGTGAAGTGTTGACCGGCCAGCTGCGTCTTACAGCTGGTGCACACGAAACACTCCTTATGCCACGGCTCATCCCGATAGGTCACGCCACCTTTAGCCAGGGTCTTAAAAAAGAAAGTCAAAGGTCACGTGGACATGCTTGTAATTCAGGTCTAAAATTATACTCAGGCACATTCCCACAGAGCTTTATTCCCACTCGAAGACAATGTGTCTTTAGCAAACCATCAGGCAGCTAATTGACAGACTTACTGACCTTTTTACAGCGTGTGCAGCGCGGAGCGAACTTGTCCTCGTAGCAGGGCACGCAGTAGTGCTCATCCTTGTCAGGAATGAAAGACTTTGAGCCAATTGGTTGTTCACAGCTGTGACAGATGAAGCAGCCCTCGTGCCATGTAGAACCTGCATACTCCAGCTTTCTCGTACCTACAGTAGCAGAGGAGGAGAGACGTGGCAGGAGATAGAAAAAGAAGGATGGAAAGACTCATTAAAACGGGGCTGGGTTAGCATTATTTACACGTCTTAATGGGATTGCGATGATCATGTTGGTGATTTTTTGGGCGGTTTTGTTGAACTGGGAAATAAAAACTTGAGTTGTATATAAGGCATATAAAAGCAATTTTGTTTCACTCAGGTTTATTTTTATTTTAAATCATAATACCACAGGCCACATGCTTCTTTTCGTCTGCTGGAAACTGGCAGCAGGCGTTAAAAGAAAAGGGATGATGCCATTTTCCCCTCTGTGTCCCCAACCGATCCATCTTATATCCCCCGGCCGTTGAGTTTTTTATTATACTGGTCGGTTTACTCGACAGCGATGCAGCGGTTTGTGTGGGGACGACATTTTGTAGAACTGCTTTCTGCAGATTTGCTAACGTTTCATCACCTCAGGCGGTGTGCAGTGGTGTTCTCTAATCCAAAACACCAAAATCCCCCAGCAAAAGCTTTTCCAAATTATACGCACGCAGGAATTACTGCTGCTCGAGAAGGACAATATTAGCTGTTAGGTATGTGTATTTGACAAATATAATAAAAGTGAACAAGCTGCAATGTAAAATTGAGTTCAAGCATTCCAACACTTTTAAAGAGCTTTAAAAACATACGGTGAGATGCCAACAAAGCACAAAATCTCTGCACAGAAAGCAGCATTTGTGCACAAGAACATTTTTTATTATCGTCATCAAGTATTTAACTCCGTTTACTTCTTTTTCTTTTTAGTGCCTCGATCCTTACATTGCAAATTTTGCTATTACACTTGGAAGCGAGTCCCGCAAGCATTCTTTCTAGTGTCAGCCTTAAAAAGAAAGCTCAAACAAGATGTACGTTTAATCACAGTGGTTAGTTTCAACAATAGAAGTATTTTCCAATATAGTAAACAGAGTAAGTGAGATGACCGCTGTCTGCAACTGCGCAACAATAAAGCATTTGTTTGACCATCTCTGGCAATGAGCAGCTTTATCAGAACAATCTGAGGTCTCTGTTTGGCTTTACTGTAAACTTACTTTTCTCCTTATGTCAGCAATGTAGCCCCCTAAGCCTAACATCCAGCGAAGGCAAGTGTCTCTTTTTTTTATATGATGATTAAGGATGTTACTGCAGCTTCCTTTGTTAGACGAGAGGCTGTACACGTTGTCAGGAGGTGCAACAAAACTGGGTCAGTTCCTAAATGTATCTCACAAAACACTGATGGAACAGTGATGTCCAACAGTGTGCAGTGTTATATAGGATCACGCACTTCTGTATCTGGCCTGACAGCAGGATGCCTTTAATCTTTGATCAATCTCTGAACCATTTGTACCTCTCAAGAGAACTCATCTGAGCATAACGTACACTAAAGGCTGCGTTGCAAACGTGTAATCTTCACCACAAACCGTGAGATTATCTACAGTAGAAATTAAGAGGAAAGTCGTGCTTTTCCTGGAATCATTTGTAGCTCTATGAGGGCTGCGTAAGCTGCTACAGGAGCGCTGGAATAACCGACTCGCTTATCTATTGTTATCATCAGTTTGCTGGCAGCCCGCCAGCCTTGGGGATCTGGCTTACAGACAACAAGTCAAGCAGACTGGCAATTACTCTGTCACATTCACCCCTGGCTGCTGCTCAGCCGTGGACCCTCGCCTTCGCCTCTTTGCTTTCTCTATCTGCTCGATCGCTTGCTGTATGCTTTTTATTTGTACGTGCTTCCTAAAGTTTGCCGTGTCATCATTTTCCGAAGTCATTTGCCTATTTTAAAATTTGAATTCATAAACTACGTGGAGACTCAAATGGAACACAAAGAGGCTGAAAGCTGAGTGTGTGAGTGAAGCATCATAATGTGTGGCACTACCATGTAACTAACTCTCTCTTTATGGATTTAAATTTTTCAACAATTCAATAATTTAAAAGGTAATAGCCTTTCTAGAACCCTGATTCTATCATCTCAATAGAAAGTATGTTGTAAAATAAAAACAAACAAAAGAAAAAAAGTGAATTTACTGCAAAAGGAGTAACCCTGAGTTCGAATGGAAATCATTCTGCAAATTTTCAACACCACACTCTCTGGGTACAAAGCCTGTTTCCACATTTACCTGGCATGACAATCTTGTCGCAGGCTACACACTTGGAGGAGAATTCATTACAGTAGCAGTCGTTGCAGAGCAGCGCTTCATCCTGGCTGGTGAAGGGTTCATCTGCCAATGAGCGATCACAGCGGAAACAGCGGAAGCAGTGCTCGTGGTAATGCCGTTCTTCATAGAAGAGCTCCTGGCAGCGGAACAAAAGGATACTAAAAGGTAATTTCATGCGGTTATAAATGCGTCACAGAAATAGTCGCATTAATCACAATGTGCTTCCTTCAAAGAATCTTTCTCTACGTATGTTTTAAAGTTTCAGAACTCATTTAATGGAGACGACGTAGGGGATGACTGCAAGACTAAACATCAACAGGAGTTTATGTTACCAGCAGGAACAGAGAGGAGTGTAGGAGGGATCTGGGTCAAACTGACACTTGTAATGCCTGCATACTCTCATGCCGCACATATGCACAGCTTATACGCACGCTCTTGTCCAAAAAGGTCTCACGAGGATGGGAGTGAGCTCATTGTCTATAAGACACTGAGCCAAGAAAATACTAGTTTTAATAATTAATTCGCCTCCTTAGCTAAACAAACTACGAAGCACTGTAGCGTCCCCTCGTTCCATAGACTCCACTGAGGAACACGTTGCTGTTAAATGATCCGCATCATGTTAGCGTTTTCCATTAAGGAGAGATTACATTTTAACTTGATTGTGGGAAGAGAGAGACGTTCCCTCACGCTGCATTTTTACAATAGTCGACAAATTTAGTCTGTTGGCTTATGTGGACTTGGTGGAAATTTCCTGCATAATTGCACGTTAAATTAGCCTTTACGGGGTCTTGCCACACAAAATATATAGAACACGCCCCATTTACGATGAATTATGCATCATTAACATGACATAACTTCTGTTGTGCTGTTCAAACCCATGTCAAAACATTGTAAAAAATAATGGCTTTCAGCTAATTAGAGTAGAAGTGTTTTTGTTATTTGTTTGAACTATTAATAGGTGGGGCAAAGGATGGAAAGACAGAGATCATACATGGGATTATTGCAGTAAGAAAAATGCTTCACAGAACAACTAAAGAATCATTTAAATTCTGAATGTTTTGCACTTGTTACTGCTGATTACATGTCTTGTCAAAATAGATGTCTTACCCTTGCATCGTGGCCAATCAATTCTTTGCACTCATCACACGTGTTTGAGAAAAGACTGTCATAACAGGGGATGCAGTACGGACTGTCGTCTGACTGGATGTACTTGCGGCCGTACAGGGATTCTTTGCAGTTGCGACAGTCGAATCGGTCGGCCATTGTAGTTTCCCACAAGTCTGCAACACAGAGAAAAGAAACTCAGGTCAGCAGTGTTTTGAAAAATAAATGGCAACAAATCCTAATCAGGACAAGCAACGAGCACAAAATGAGAGATTACAATAGAGTGTCCGTGAAAAGGAGAGAGCCCTGAAGAATGATTCAGTCACCTTTTCCATCACAGCAGTTGGACATCAGTATAGATTTTCACTGCCAATATTTATGCTGTAAATACTTCAGCCTGTGCCAACAATGGAGCTGAGCTCAAACAAAACACAAGGTGCAAATGGGTGCAAGTGGAAAAAGAAAGAGAGGCAGAATAAGGAGTGAGACAGAGCGCGAGAGAGGCCGTGCAAAATGCCTATTAACTTTTATTGCCGCGTGATGAAAGTGTGGTAGATGAGGAGGGAGGGGACGAAAGAGGGAGCTGCTGTCACTCGCTCTCTTTCAGTAACGAATGTAACACTTTCCTGTCGCTGTCAACTGCTTAGAATCTGCAAACTAAAGATTAAAGCGCCAATACAAAGTGAACAAACTGCGGCGTGACTAAGTGCTAATGAAGTAGCATCTCCTTGCACAAGAAGCCCACACATCATACACACCTGTAAATATTTATGAGGCAAGAATCTATTTGTGATTAAAGCACGGACCACCTACAGATTCAGAAACCCCGTGATGCGTTTGAGTGGTGCGCGAGTGGGCAAAGGCGCAGACGACTGAAGCTGTCTGAACATGACTTCTGAGCGAGTGGCTTCCTTTCAGGATAAAGACGCAGCTACAGTGTGTGTGCGTACACAGATACAGGAGTTTTACTGTCTAAGAACACGGTTTCCGCTGCGCGAAAGACCCCTTGATCACGACTGAGCACACAACAAAGTGACAGAATAATATTGTGAGAGCATTATGGCAACAATATCAGGTTGCCAAAACATTACAGCATGGTTGGAGGAAAGCCCAGTGATAAGTGATAGGCCTCTGGCACGGTGCATTACTGGCTATTCGCTCCCACCACCCAGCAATAATAATCACCGCTGATATAATAATCAATCAAACTTCAAACTGGCCCTGTGCTGCCTGTCTTACACCCACGCATAGAAAAACATCCACTGACGCAGGCACAATACACACAAAGCATATAGGAGGCATTCAAACACACACTCCCCCACAAAATAAGCCAAATCACACAGGATCCATCATCAAAGAAAACATTAGTTGCAGATTCTCAGGTTTCACGCCTCAGCCCAAAAGCTCTTAATGAGTCGGGGTGAGAAAGTCAAGATCCAACAGACCTCACCTGCTTGGAGGGCTCCTGTGTAACCCAGTGGCAGGCTGCTTTCCTAAACTGAAGAGGTGCTTTCTCCCCCTTCAGTGACCATAATACATAAATGACAAAGTGCAAACGCTTGACAGCCTCGTGGCCATGTGCATCCAGCTCGCACCGCCAAACTGCCACATCTCTGTGTTTTATGACTGAATGGAATGGATACATCTTAAGTATCTGATGTCTTACATTATGGTATCCATCTGGAGGGTATGGCACAATATCAGAATAAGCAGCTGCGGTGGGGCTGTGTAATGTACAGCAAGGTGCTGAACTTGCAATTCTGTGTTTTAACATCAATTTCTGTACATTTGACACACCGTCCGTCAGAAAATTCCACCTACGCTGCCATGAGCCCGCAAACCACAATGTCAAGATTAAATCAACAAAGTATACAGCTGGAAAGGAGCGCTACGACCTTAATGTTATCTGCAGTGCCAGGTAGGTACAGCATGTGCTGCCGCCGCTTGCCAGGTAAAGGAACGAGATGAGGCATGACTCACAAAGCCAGGAAGGCAGGACTGTGATGTCTGATGTCAGATTTCATTTCTGAGAAAATCGGGCACTTCCTCGAATTCATACGTACTCACATATCCATGTAGCGAAAGGCTGCACAAGTAAGCAAAGAACCTTTTTTTAATATTTAGAAATACATATCCTCTCACATCTTGACAAATATTCAAACACAGATTAACACAAATCCCTGTACCTGAGATGACACTAACGTCCCAGGCAGCCTTGGCGTAGTTTGCCTCTAGCATTTCATGGTCTACTGAGAGATGTGGGTTTGAACAAGGCCTGCTCTGGTTAACATTAGGTAGAAGAGAAGTTTTACTGAGACACAAGCAGGATTATATTATTATCATTATCATCAATTGCACAAGATTCCGCAGAACAAAGACTTGTTTTGACTTCCAGGCCTTGGAGCGTTTGTATTTCAGAGATTTGCTTCAAATATCGGTGTTTGAACGGCCACTGCAGAGCCTGAAATGAACTGCTGATGGCACACAGTCTCACAGAGAGGGGCATGACATCAGTGTACTGACCCCTGGGGTGATGGAGTAAGATGTGACCGCATGCAGAAATTATTCACCCCAAAAAAAACCCCACTGTGCAAAAGTGGAGAGAAGAGAAGAGAAGAGAAGAGAAGAGAAGAGAAGAGAAGAGAAGAGAAGAGAAGAGAAGAGAAGAGAAGAGAAGAGAAGAGAAGAGAAGNAAGAGAAGAGAAGAGAAGAGAAGAGAAGAGAAGAGAAGAGAAGAGAAGAGAAGAGAAGAGAAGAGAAGAGAAGAGAAGAGAAGAGAAGAGAAGAGATCTAGGTCACAGTGAACTCTGGTCCAGAGGCCACTTCTCATTGGGTCATGTATTGTATATGCTAGCTTCCCAGCAGAGATCCATCTCTTTCGAGTCTAGTGCCCAGTGACTAAGAACCACACTCTGGGTTAATAATGTTCCCAAATACCAAAGCTGTGACCAAATTCAGCCCCCTGGGAAAAATGTGGGCTTCTCAAGGAAATCACCACTGTATCCACACAGGACAATGGACTAGAGACATTGTCCTAAGTTTAATTATATCATTGCTGCAGAAAGTAGGGATCTCAGTTTAATATAGGCAGTACATTCCATTCTCTATATTAATTCAGAGGGAGTTCAGCTGAGAGAGAGAGAGAGAGCAAAATATAGTTTATTCAGTCAGAATGACTCTGCAGAAATGCTCCAATCTTTTTATCTTAACCCACAGACAATAGGCTTAAGATTAGCAGTGCTGATCAGTTGACTTATTTGTTTAAAGCGAGGTGTTGCCACAATGTGTGGTCAGATTAACATCAGCTTTTTAGTATGTATTCATGGACGTGTTCACCCCTTTTCCCCAAACTTCGAACACTATAAGAACAAAATTTCAAATCTAAACTGCTGATGTAAAAATTAAATGTAAATTGTAATTGTAATTTTGTGATTCTTCCTTTTGCACCAGTCTCGTGACAAAACTCTGCACAGGTGATATGTCATAGTCAGTAGATCCCAGTATTTCCAGCAGCACTGTGGGTTTTCCTTTAAGGTAAATGTAACAGCACAAAAAAAAAAACAAGTCTCTCAGTATGCATTTAATTTAACTCTTGGAAATCACGAGGCATGAACCGTACACTTTCTTGAGACTGCAAACGGGCCTCAAGACTTTTTGGTTGTTTTTAAACATCCAGCTATAAGATAGCAGAGGAATGCCAAGGTTACATTCTACCAGTCATCACAACCCCTCCCTGATTGGCATAAGGAGGTCAAGTTCAGGGACGACTGTGAGACACCACAAAGCAACACACCAATGCAAGCAAGCAGACTGCATGATGTTGCTGGGCAACACAGTCATGGTTGGTTACTGAAGGGCTAGCAGATACCCTGTCCACTCCGGTCCCACAGGCAAAACTGCTAATCCCCAGCCCAAACTTTGCTTACGCTCCGGTTAATTCCAAATGGACAGTCCGCACAGCCTGCTGGGAACAGCTCTCCCCTCTCCTCTGCTGTCCATTAGAAGCATATGCTTGTAAAATGTCTGTTTTACTAAGGCTAGTCACAGCACTTGACATCATGTTACACCAACAGAGGACAGAGATCATCTTGCCCGCAGCAAGCAGATGTCTGTGTAACGCTCAAGCAAATAAACGACTACAAACTACTGTGTCACATAAACTCACATTTCTGACTATTATAGAGAAAATACCTCATTACTTATACTTTTATTCACAATTATCAGACTGCATATGTAATAAAGCATGTTATATACATTTATTTCGCTGTATGTAATACTTTCTACACCTTGATGTAAACTTGGCATTAATACATAAAATCCTATTTATTATTGTAATGCAAGAGCAGAGTTTACAGTATATTACAATATTCCTAAAACGTAAACAAAAAAACTAGAAATTAAACTGTGTCTGAGGCTCCATTGAAACAGTGATGCTGGATGTTTTCTGAATGCTTTGAGGCTAATTTCTAGTTTTGTAATATACAGTGCTGCAGTGAAATGAAGCTTACTTATTTTACTGAAATATTAAGGATTTTTCATGAGTCTACTATGTCACAGTTGTCACTAGAGCAGTTGTTTTTGTTATTCGCTGACAATACGCTGATAAGGGACAACAACTAACTCTGTTTATTTCTTCCTTTCACCAAAATAGCATGTCTTGTGTCTATGACGTCGGTTAATGTGGGAATGTCATATCTCAAATATAAAAAAAGCCAAAGCGCGGAAGTGGTGCAACTGTACTCCCCCTGATAAAAAAACACAACCAGTGAAGGAAATACCATCACAGGCTGCAAATGATGCATTGGCAGCTGATTTGAAAATGGTTCAGTTTATTGCCATGTGGGAGATTATAAAGAAGTTGTGGCTGTGTCGTAGCATGAGGTCTGCAAGCAGTGTAGTTAAGAAAAACCCATTTCCAAGGGCAACTGCTGCATTTGTTAGGTGTGTGTGTTTATAGGTCCATCTTGACTAGTGTACTTTTATATTCAAGTGGATACTTCAAAAAGTGTGGATTTTACTGCACATAGTAAGGTCTGATTTACTTTAAAAAGTAGCAGCTACAAAAGCCACTCCATCACCCATAACTGTCTGGATCTTTTGGCAGCAAATGGACTCACACTCCAGGAAGGAGCGTGCTGCTTCACAGGTCGCCTTCAAGTGCATGACTGTTTCCTTT